AGAAAAATCAAGAGGAAAAATTCAAAATAGGCCATTGTTATTGTTTTAAAATCATTGAAGTCATTGCCCTCCTTCACTAGGATGCAATGTACTAAAAAAATGAAGGGTTAAATTAAATTTATTAAAGCATTTTTAGGAAGGGCATATACATACAGAGACTTCTTTTCATCCTGTTCCTGCTCCTGTCATTCTGTCATTTTTCACTTTATCTTCCTTTTGGTCCAATTTTTCTCTATATTTGTACCTTTTAACTTGAAACAGAAGGGAAAAAAATGGCTATTTGGGTTTTAGACACAGTGAGGACAAAAAAAAATTACCTTCCCAGGTAATCCAAATGCAAAGAGTCCAAGATCTTCATAAGACATCACAGCTGTTAAGAGAAATCATAATTTTCACTTTTACACAAATCTATTTGAGGGTCAGATCTTAAAGGGAAAATTATTCTACTACTAAACCCTAAGTATCATTCTTATGACCATGCAAGATTAGACACAGCATGAAAAAAGAAAATTCTCCTTAAGACGCTCCAATAAAGGCAATAACAAGAAAGATTTCACATAATTAGGTATTTTGTTTAAAGATCTTTGATAATTTTCTACACCAAATCTTCAACTTTCATCCCAAATTATAAGAATGCCTGTTGTGTTCAGATGTCTTTATAGAATATAAGTCTTTCTTTTTATACCCTAGTAATGTTTTTCATCCTTTCTAAATCACCAAGGACTCTAGTTATTATGGTTCTCTAACGTGTTTGTATTCTGAAGGATTTTGCCACTCAAATTACACTTATTAATAATTATTTTCCGTTTTATTAAGCAAAAGTTTCTCATAAGGTAACAAGTGCCAACACAGAGAATTAATGCAGTATCAGTCACCAACTACCACCATCTATCTACCTCTTTGACTTCTCTCTGTAACTATTTTTAAATTAATCTGTCAGGGCTAATCATGGATAAATTTGTAATTTCTCTTAGGCAATGTGAACAACTAAAAGTGGTACAGACAATTCTGTTAATAGTCTTGTAAATTCCTAGTAGTTTAAGTCTTTAAGTTAGGAAAAACAGCCTTATGGTTAGACTAAATTTAAAGCAAGTGACCACCTTCCTGGGAAACTTGAACACTTACATTCTATATAGAAAGAGTCCTCTTAGAACTAGTTGCAATTCTAAGGCTGCTTAACAACCACAAATATTGCACTGATTTAAATAAAACAATTACTTAAGAGCAACCTCATTCCTCACCAAATAGGACTAGAATACTGTCCAAAGGTAAGTTTTCATTGGCAATGGTTTCCAAAAACTGGATATATAAATAGTTAAAGCTAGATAAACAATGCTGTGTTATAACATCAGAGACATTCATTTTTCTAGGCTAAGTAGGATGGTGATAATATTCACAATAGAAACAATACTTTCATCCCACAATTAGTATGGCATGTAGTTTTTTTCATCATGGAAAAAAAAA